AATAATTTGGGGAAAACGTAAAAAATTATAAACGTATTCTGATAATAATGAAATTTATAATTACTAATTCCTCGAATTATGAAGTTGCTTTTGAGTTTTGGACGCTGATGTCTTGAAACACGTGAAAATTTTTACAAAAATTACTAAAATAATAAGAATAATATTTATTTCAAATGTTTCAATGAACAATGAACATTTTTGTTTCAGGAGCACAATAAATCGTAGATTTATGCGTGCACCAATTATTAACTTAACAGAAAATGTTTACTTCCCAATTATTAACTTAACACCGTACATAATTTACATTTAAATACATTTTCAATATTGTAAAATCGAATAATTAATTAAACTTATTAAATGTATAATTTAATGTATATTTTCTGAACTCAAATGGTAGTAGGTAAGTATAAGAAGTAATTTATAAAAAAGTAGACTATACAATGAATAAAATTAAAGTAAAATCGCAGAAAATTAAGTAAGCAAAAGCAAAAAAAATATATTTCTCTCAAGTTGTTACTTATTTTCTGGACACTTCAAACATTACACAGATATTTTACAATACAAAAGACAATGCACTTGACTGTTATTCCATATACATATGTGACAACTGTTCTGTTTGTCGTCTCATGCAATCTGCCGGCATCAATTGAAGTACTTTTTGGTTTCTAAAGGCTTTGGATCCCCTGCTGTAAAGCCAATAGACCGTATTGTAAATCTTCGTACATAAGGGCCCTTCATGAATGTGATACGTTCCACTTTTATGGAGGGTCCTGTATAACAGTTTTTATTTTTAATCTTAAATTGTTCTAAAAGTTCATTGTTCTATCATATGATTTTCGAGGACTTTTTGTTTGGAGTTTGATCCTTTTTCAAAAACAAAATGTAGGCAAATTTAGCGCCAATTACAGAAAGTTTGAACACGTTAGAAGTGGGTCCGAAAATTCACAATCGAGGTTGATTTTCAATTAAAGTAAAGTCGGAGAAGAAATATCAAGCCAGTGAGATACACTAATACAACTAAACTGTTTTAGCTTAAAAAATTAAATTGTGATTTTAAAATAAATAACCCGAATTTGTTTTTAGGAATGAGGTACACAATCCACATAATTAGCCTGATTGTGGCATTGGTGGGCGCTCAACCAGTTGATGATGCCTCATTGATTGGTGACCTGTTTCCCACCGAGAAAAGCGACGACTTTATGAAAAATTACGTGGAAGTAACAACACCGAAAGGTCAAAGTTACGGTGCTTTGGAAAAATGCGGCGAAGGAAGTTCTGAAGGAGTGAACATTTGCGTTCCATATCATCTATGTGATGGCGTCACTAAAACTGTTATTGAGGACGGATCAACCAATGGATTTGGATTGATTGATATAAGGTATCAGATAAAAGTATCTACACGTTAATTTAAAAACTTGTCCACTTCATTACCTGGTGATTTAAATGCTACGTACAGGCTAACAATGGTTGTATGCTAGTTTTTATTATTTATCCCTATATTTTACTCGGATTATTATATGTCTTCTTCCTAATACAGGCAAACACTGGAAGAAATTTTTTAAAGTTGTGATGCCAAATCGACATACAATTGTTTGGTTTATCAAAATGTAATAAGGTTTATTATTTTTGGATTAAATAACGAACTGTTAAAAGTTGTATTTTTTGCTCCTGAAATTAAGAAAACACTTTTCTGAAGAACTATTTGAAGCAAAAATTAAACTTGAAAGATTCGTGGCAAAGTCATTTATAACTATTTATTATTTGACTGAATTAGAATTATTTTTTAATGCAAATTATGTATCTGCTTCTGTTTACTATATGCCCTAATTTGGAAAATCTGATATGCTGGAATATTTTGTTCAAAAGCAGACAAAGCAACATATATTAATATGAGGAGAAATAACAACTTAATAAATCAATTTTTGGAAGACTAAGCGAGAATTTTATCGACAGCAGCCCATTTATCAACTCCAGAAGAAAAACTACGATATTAAAGATGATGAATGTTATATGAAATAGACTGAGAAAAAAATTGATGATAAATTAGTACATACAAAAACATTACTATCTATGCATAGAACCTGAGTGATTACATGTAATCTTCGGGCATATCAAATTTGGAAGTTTATTTGCGGGGGTAGATTCAAGTGATGAGGGTTTAAAGGCCCAAAACCGGTCTTAAAAGTGGCTTAGCAACTTGTTTGGAGACTAATTCCATTTTAATGGCTTTTACTCCATCCGCGACTTTTAATTAATCGCAAATGAAAAAAAAATTACCGTATACATATTAGATTTACAAAACGAAAATTTGCCAATGTAAATCAATGGATTTTTTGACTTTCCAGATTTGGAGGAGAATGTGAACATTACTTGGACGTATGTTGTGGACTTAACAAAAAGGACGATATGAAAAACCCCAATGTTACACCCGAGCCCTCAGTTGATCCACTGAAGCCAACCTCAACATCAACTACAACCACTGCACGACCAGTCACTTCGTCTACGACTATGCAACCGACACCCAGACCAAGTTCCATTAAGTGCGGAATACGGAATCCTAATGGAATCGACTTTAAAATTACTGGAAACAAGTAAGTTTAGCTGCATCCGGATTTAGCTATGATTTTGTTTGAATTAAACATAATCAAACAGTGTGGATCCTTTCAGGGACAACGAAGCAGAATATGGTGAATTGCCTTGGATGATCGCAGTGTTGAGAACAAATTATCAGCCATCCAAGAATGAAAGTCTGGCACTCTGTGGAGGTTCATTGATTGCACCTAATGTGGTGCTGACTGGGGCGCATTGCGTTGCCAAGTACGTATCAATTCTTTAGAAGAGCAGATTTTTTGGTTTACAAAACATCAAGCTTACACGTTTTTCGCAAAAATATAGGTTTTAAAGAATTGTTTAAAATACGAGTATAATCATTTCTTTTGGCATACTAAGTTTAAGTTGGTAGTTTCCAGTATTTTTATCTTTTTTCAATGTTTTGCATAAATTTCTAAATTTTTGTACTTATCTGGATTGTCTACTTCACTTTCTCGTTTCAAATTTGGAGTAGGTATATTGTTCGCTTTTTCGCAAGATATTTATTACGATCACTATTGACTCTCAGGTAAAAAGTACGTTTTTGCTAGGAGAAGACTGACGAAGAACTTGACTTCTCGAAAATAGTATTATTTTAACTCGCTATTTCATCTACAATTTCATATAAAATTCCGCATCAGACGTAATTTTTTTCGCAACTGAAGCTTTTTACCATAACACTCTACAATAAAATATTTATTTGGGTTTCTTTAAATATGCTCATTTTATAATTAATTATTTTACAAATTTTGGTTAAGCAACATTCTGCATATAAGTGAATACATGTAGTGAGTTTGCAACGTCAAAATACAGTAAAATGTACGCTTGTAATGAGGAACAGCATGGTCATGCCTTAAATGCAGAACGAAAAAGCTGCATGATTGGCGATAGTTAAAATTGAAAGCTGGAACTAAAATAATCCCCTGAAAATCAATTGATTTAACATGCAAGTCTTTTCTCTTTTTTCGTCTATTTAGAAGATTTTCTAAATCTTCTGTGAGTTTCAGTGGTGGCTAGTTTTCAGTCGTCTGATGATTGCAAGTTTTTAAGTTACTTTGCTTTTACAATTAGCCAAAGCTCCATCCAATCGATCAATAAACTGTTTGAAAGTCTATAAACTTTTCTGGAAAAAAATTTCAAAGCATTTTCTGCATTAAAATGTTTCACTTATTTTTTTGTGCTCAATTAGGAAAAATGGTTGAAACTGAAAGTGTGCAGCTCAGCAAAACTTGGAACTGAAGTCCAAAAATTATTGTACTTGATTTTTTTTTTAATTTGGAACTTATCCAGTTCGAGTTAATATAATTTTAAAAAAGTCGTAAAAAAATCCTTAGGTTGTAATAAACTTTAAACTGCGAAATTCATTCATAGAATTGGGCGCGAAAGCTATTAATAATTTTAATTCAGGGCGGCATGAATGCCTGAAAATGAGCAAAAAGTAGATTTTTGTTAGTTCTTTTTGGGGTTATTATTCTGAGATGTTACCTTGCTAATTAAAGTCCCATTCCTGTATAAGGATTTTTTAAAATTGTTAGTGTGTGCGTATTTAACTTGTTTATGAGTATTTAAACAAATTTGTTGACTTTTCCCCTAAAAGTCAAATAAATTGAAAACATCTGCATTTCGATACATCCTAACTGCCATCTTAATTCTTAATCTTTTAATAAATCAGTCTGTAAAGTTAATAAGTTATAAAAACGATCTTTAGTTGCAAAATTGGGTATTTTGCCTATAAATTGGCTTAAACTAGATTTATTATTTATTATCGTACACGACTGTTAAATAGAACATGAGTTCGTCCTTCGACAGCCGCCATAAAATACAGGGTGTTCCATTTGAAATTCCTGCTTAATATGTAATTCGATGTTCAAGGAAGCATTATTTTGTAACGGTTTTCCAAAAAAAATACCTATTTTTTTTTAAATCTTCATTGCTTTTATTTTATGTATGGGTTAAGAAAAACACGTAAAAATAGAAATACATATCATAGAAAATAATAGAAAAACACAGTTGAATACAGAACGTGTTTGGTAGAAGAAGGGTATTATTTTAGCCGCAGTTATACTTCCGAATACAACCCTACTTTGATTTATAAACGATAGTTGAACTTGTGATCAACAACTTACAAGTTGTTGATATTTATTTTTACAAAGCAAAATACAGATTTCATAACAAGCAAATTAGACAGGAATTTTGGAATATGGGAAAACTTTTCTATTATTAATTTATGAAAAAAAGTTATTCCTATAAAAAGTTCTGCATATTCTAAAATCTACAATAAAATTGCCAGATTTTATTTTGTTTCAGTCGTGTCTCCGGTTTGCAAGAAATATATGCATTTAGCTCAGGAGTACTTTTATTTTTAAATATGTAATTACTAACCTCAACATTTACCGCTTTTATTTATAACAAACATGAACTTTTTGTTCCGTACCGAAACGAATAAGCAAATTCTCACAAAAGGAAATTTTCAAGTAATTACACTTTGCTCGAGGGTTTTAGCTTTAGATAAAATTTTTGTAAGAACAGTGTTCGATACTAAAAGATAAACGCACTTTGGTTTTGAGCTAAATTTATAATTTTGACAAACCTTGTACACGACGGAAAAAAATCAATGTCTGATAATTATATTTTAAAGCACGCAGAACGTTTTAAAACGAATAACTTTTTTGAGTTAAATTACGAATCAAAATTTTTCATCCTTTGCCATCTTAAGTAGATAGACTGTATAAACATGTGCTAAATATTTTTCAATACGGATTTACAAAATGTTGAGATTTAATTTTAGAAATTAGTTAAAAATATTCAAAACATATGTAGATTTCACAACGATCAATAGCGAAGAATGGCGCTAATTTTGCAGGAAAGTATTTTGTTAATTTCCTGCAGTGGCGTATTCGACTTCTGAAAAAACTTCTTCTTAGACACTGGTGTATTTTCGGCTCTCAAGTTCTTTGTTTCATTCCAAATAAATAAACTTCTGGCAGTTTTTAACTTCGACAAGTAGTTTGGATTCTTAGATTATTTAAAGTAAAGTTGACAAATTGAGTGCTGAAACCAAACAAACCATGTAAAATTATTAATTTTACACTTCTCATCCGAACGATTTGCAAGGGTACAAACATAAATCAGTGGCTTAAACAGATCATCAAAATCACCATGTGTTTAATTAAAACAAAATGCATCAACAAAGAAATTTCGCGGACGAAGAATTTTTCTCTTAAAAAATGTAAAAACTTGCTTTTAAGCGAGGGCAGGAAAAAATGAACAATATTGCCATTATTGGATTTTTTCGAACGGTCTTATCTTGCTAATGTAGTTAACGAGTAAATAATTACATTCTGAGTTTCAATCATTTGCTTTAGTAGTTTGTATAATACACTCAAAATAAATGTTATTTTTATATACAATTTACTTGCCATAATCTAAGCACAAGCTCTTTGTTCCAAACCCTCCAAGTTCAATAATAGACTGCAACAAAAAACGTCGAATATAAGAGCACTTGCGTTGATAAATTCTAAAATTTTTGTACTATTCGCGTTCCAGCTTGCAGCTTGATGAATACAAAGTGAGAGCTGGAGAGTGGGATACTCAGACCGAAAAAGAGCGACTGCCTCATCAAGAGAGAGCCGTAATCCAGGCCATTATCCATGAAAAATACGCCCCTAATGTGCTATATAATAATATCGCTTTATTAATTTTGGACAAGCCTTTTAATCAAGCAGATAACATCGGAACTATTTGTCTACCGAGTCAGAATGAGAATATCGACTCGAGGAAATGTTTGGCTAGTGGATGGGGCAAGAACGTATTTGGTAGGTATACAAAAAATACACTAAAACAATTTAAAATAAAACTATTTTTATTAAGAAAATTGATTTATACAAACAATTTAACACATTTTTATATGCAAAATTCGACTATTGACACTTATTTTTCTTCAGGTCTCCACGGATCTTATCAAGTGATTCTCAAAAAAATCGAACTTCCTATGGTGAGTTTCCAACAGTGTCAGAGCGCTCTTCAGACCACTCGATTGGGCAAAAGGTTCAATCTTCATTCTAGTTTTACGTGTGCTGGAGGCGAGCAAGGAAAAGACACCTGCACTGTATGTATTCCTTCATTAAATGTTATACAGGCTAATCCAGTACATTGTTTGTTTTGGGAATTATTCTAATTTGATGTGTAATTGTTTAAGGGTGATGGTGGCAGTCCGCTGGTATGTCCAGATTCCACTAATCGTGGACGTTACGTCCAATCCGGAATTGTGTCTTGGGGAATTGGATGCGGCGAGGAAAACATTCCAGGAGTGTACGCCAATGTGGCGAAATTTAGAAATTGGATAGACGATAAGCTGTCAAGACTGAATATTAATAGTAATTACTATACGATTTAACAATAAACTCTAAGACCTAATCGAACTAGCTGTTTTTTATTTATCGTCCTTTCGGACCAACGTTTAGGGCTTCTTTTGGGGTATAAAGAAAATAAAGTTGAGATAAACTTTTGGCACCCTGTATAATGTGGGTCATAGTTAATTGAATAAAGGCTTATTAGAAATTTAACATGTATAAATAATTGCATTGTGGAAATGAAACAAAATACGAAAATGCTTCGTTACAAAACAACGACAGAGAAGGTTGTTGAAACATTATTTATATTTACATAAAATACATAAAATTCGATTAAACAACGGTAAACTGGACTGGTAAAATTATAACGCTTTCTTAAAACATCAGAAAAACGGTAGTGTAACTTTTTCTTTTACAAAGTAATTGTGCATTTTGATAAATTATTTTTCCATTCTACATTCAGTTGGGAAAACAAAAGCTCTTTTAAGATTTTTCTGTTAAAATGCACAGGTTTCGGCTAAAAAAATAAAAACTTATTTTCCTAGAAATTTACCGCAGTATTTAGCATTTGATACTTTCTATAAAAAACCAGTGCTCGCCAATAGTTTTTCTGCATATATTTTTTGTCAATTCAACATTCAGTTGGGAACAAAAAAGCTCTTTTGGGTTTTTTTGCTTAAATGCAGTGTTTGCAAAAAAAATTAACCCGCGGTATTGTTAAAGAAAGTCACCGCCATATTCAATTTTTGAGAATTTTCAAAAAACGGAATTGCTTTCCTGCAAATAACAATTATTTTTCAATTCTACGTTCAGTTGGGAGTAAAAAAAAATCTTGGATTTTTATGTTAAAATGTAGTTTTCGATTAAAAAAATTAAAACTGTCATTTGATATTTGATTCTTTGCTTGGAAAAAACACAGCACGCTAACGATTTTTTTCTACAAATGATAATTTTCATTTCAATTAAATTAGAAATAAAAATCTCTTTTGGGTTTGTTTTTTGGATAAAATATACAGTTTTGTGGTATTGCCCGAGAAAATTACCGCAATATTTAACATTTGGCAATTTTCATAGAAAAAACAGTGTATGATGATTTTCCGCAAATAACAGTTCTTTGTCAAATCTACAATCAGTTGAAAACAAAAAAGCTCTTTTGAATTTTTCTGCTAAATCGCACAGCTTTTGATTAATGTTTAGCATTTGATAATTTCCGGAAAAAATACAGAGCATGCTCTGTATTTCTCTGTTGATTGCTATGATCTTTCTATAAATAAAAATTATTTTTAAATTCAGTTGGGAACAAAAGTATTTCAGTTTTTTTGCGAATGTAAATTGGAAGGTTTGTTCGCCTAGCGGGAAATATTAGATCTTTTAGATTTACAAAAAAAGTTTTTAATAACTTTAATTTGGCATCATCTCATTATGTTGCATATTCATTATCAACAATTATTTGCCTGCTGTTTCTTTCGAATGATTTTCTCTTCTCCTTTCAGTTTATTTGATGTGAAAATTTGCTTCTTCATTAACACCGTTTGATTTCAAACTAATCTTGATATTGCTTCCGTATCAGTGAACTTTATGCCGTTGATAAATGAATAAACAGAACATATCTAAGCAGTACTTTCAAGATTTATTAAAGTCAAGTAATTTTCCTCCAACAAAGGAAGACGAGCAGTAGTAACAATGAAACTTGCATTTGACACTTTTAGTTTTTAACTTTTCATTTTAAACATACCAAGAAAATGAGCAAAAACTACATAAATGCAGGAACCCTCTATAAATTAATTTTAACCTGCTGTCGGATTTAAATATCGAAAATTCTACAATTATTAATCTGTGGTAAAAATTTACTTTCCTTCTTCATCTTCTAATTTGTGCTTAAAATTGATAACTTTATAAATAAAACATCGAGCACTTCACTAAATGGAATGGTTTTATGGAAAATTTGTGTAGTTTTAACAATCTTCATGTACTCATCCTTTTGGGAAAATTGTCGGTAATTTTCTAGCATCAAGTTTTAAGTATCAAAAAAAATTATAATCGACTAACAATAAATAATTACCAAAAAATCACCTAATTAATTGCTAAAGTATTTCACTACCTGAATAAATTACGATTCGATTAGTGTCTTAAAATTTAATATTTCCGACTCTGGTGTAAGCCCTCTTCGTCTCAATAAAGAGGGTTCCCTTCCCCTTTTCTACTTCATTGTTTTATTCGCGTAAAAACAACCCCGTCTCGTCTGGATTAAATATTTCATTATCTGAGTATCCTTTTCTTAAATTAGGCCAGACTGCAGCCAACTAATCCTTACGGTCTCCTTTAGGCATATTCGTCGTTTTGTTACAGAATGTTTTACAAGCATTTTTCTGCTCTTATTTCCTAGAGCGCTTTATTCTTTATCCAAATAGTTTTTTTTTRTTTAAAAGATAAAAATACTCGTGTTTTAGACTCATAACTAGTAATTTCTTAGTTTTAAAAGTTATAATTATTAATGGGCCTTAACCCAATTGTAAAAAGTTTTCTCGGGTACACGACACTTTTATGCGCGAACGCTCTCAGAGGTATGTTATTGATTTATGCCATTATACATATTTTCTAATTTTCCCGAATAAGATATAAAGTTTTCAGTTTCCTAAGGAACGTTGCCATGCATAATATTACCCGAGTAAATTCTGCTCGTCCTCTTTGTTCGATCGCAATATCGTTATATACAGGAGAATAAATCAACAATGTGCAAAATTAGGTTTATCGACTAGTGAAGAGGTCATAAACAGTAATCCAATTAGCAAAATAGCGGATGTAATTCGGCCATTATAATGAGTGGACAAACCGAACATTACAATTTAACGCAAATATATTTCAGGGATATTTTGTAATCTACTGAAACTACCAAATTGTATGCAATACTAACTACGTCCATTATCATTGCCGATAATTAAACAATGCTGCCAAAAATGTTCTTTCCAAAAGCCAGCCGATAAAGATGGATAACATTTGGTCAAACCATCATATCTATTAAATGCAACAAATTACGATAGATAAAATAGATATAAAAACAGTACATGTCGAAAACATTTCAGGGAAGATTAATGATCTCACTTTGGGAAAACCGATATTTTTTTTTGGTCGTTTGATAACATGGACATCGGACGTCGTGTCGTTTTGATGAATTCAGAGAGTGAGTGGGCTGTTTATTTTCTGGTAGACATTCTGTGCGAATATTAAGCACATTTTTATAAATGCTGACTATGATGAATAAAATGCTTTTAAGAGCTTTTTAGAAATAGTTTTCACTGCTCATACAGGGTGTACAGAAATGAAGCGGAAATAATATACGGATCTGGAGATTATTTCACATTTTTTTGTGCTGTTCAAATTTGCCATACCTACTTCCTGCAAATGGTGTTCAGAATAAAAATTAATACAATTTGACATGCACTCCCCAACACCCAAAGCCCTTAAATCCAATTAAGTACATAGCGTTAATTTTTTTAAACTGGTTTCTTTTGAACTACCTATTCACAAAACGAAAATATGTATAGACACAAAAAAGTGGACTTGTTCCACCTCTCAAAAATGACTCATTTCCGAGAAAACCCGCCTCTGAAGAACCAATATATTACAGTGTTTCACTCAAGACCTCATTTTTAATACATCAGTTAATTTTTTTTTTTAATTTTTAATTACTATTGTTCAACTGTAACATTTCATTAAATTATTTACAGTTATATGGAACAGGGGTATTTTCAATCCATTCGTACAATATAACAACCTTTGCTTCTTCTGCTCGTTTAAAGTCCTCGGTTAATAATATACGTACGATAAACTGTTATTTTTAGACATTTTTATTTTTAAATTGGTCTCTGCAACGAATTTAATTTTAGGCATTATCTCAAAATTAGTAGACTCATTCATTTGTTGAAATTTGGGTATATGAAGGAACACGATGCAGCATAGCAAGCAAGAAAATGCTTTTTGTTTATATAAACTGATCTGTTTTAAGCCAAATTACTTTTTGCGTTGTAACTGCCCAGGACCCCTTTATGTTAAAGTTCTATTCAGTTTTCATAAAGTATGAAAATTAATCGCGTTATCAGGCGAATCCTTAATTGATTAAATGCGATTCAATACACTACTGTTATACAGCGTGAGGCAATTTAAACTATCAGATAATTTGAAAGAAATTTGTTAGTGTGGCTGACCTTTTATGAACCAGATCAAAACGGAATAGCAGTTCCACTCTGTAGTGCTAAAGCAAAACCACCTTCGGTATATGGCTATACAGGGTGGCCCAAAAATTATATTATCATATTAACTTTGATTTTTTAAAATATGTAAATGTATCAAAAATACCCGGGAATAGAAACTGTTCGTAACCAATTGAAGCTACATCGGCAATATTTTTGGCCAACTTAGTAATTTTAATGAACCGAGGCATGAAAACAAGCCTTAATACAATTTAGAATACTTTACCAGAAAAGTACCTACTAAAATTACTTCGCTCAAATGCAGAGTTTTCTAGCAAAATGACTTGCGAAATAACACTTATTAAAATAAAATGTTAACAGAAGGAGCATTAATTATAATTCTAATAAATGTAGGGAAAACGGAGTAACAAAAAATATTATGTACCTCTACTGACTATACAGTCCTCGCATAAATATAGAGATTTTGATCCTAAAATGCTGCATTTTTCTTAACAATACTGCATGATTAAATAGTAAACTTACAACCCACCACTGTGCTTTTACATAACACAAATATAACTTGCAACATAGAATTGTATGTAATTTTCAATTCAGATACTTGTAATTACTTATTCAATGGTAATTCAACTCAATTTACGACAACTTGCCTGAAATGTTAATACTTTTGTAGGTGAAAGTTCCATTACGAACAAAAAAACTTGATGCCGACTTTGTAATGAAAATAGAAACAGGTAAAAAT